CCCCCCCCTGGCTACGGGCCTGGATAAGGTAAAGAAAGCATGAACTTTCCTGAAGCAGTGGGCAATTTTCATTTCCTACATGTATCTGAAACACTGTTTAGAATCGCGGTCCTGTGCCGTGTGTAATACAGACATTGCAAGCTACCAGACATGGCAGTACGCTTCAGGCACACTTAAAATTGTGTGAAGCATTTTGTCGTCTTCAGGGTCTGAATTAGGTGATCATAGCAGTTTTGCAGGACATTTAAGGCATGACTGTGGGATATGTTCAAACGCGTGAAGATTACCTTCAGTCATTTGTAGCATTCTTTTGGCCACATATAAACTTGCCCAGTATAGTGAAGCAAAATTTAATCTCAAACACGTGTGGCTGTATGAGACGGAAACCACCAGCAATGACATGGAAAGAGGTGGCCATGGGTGAGAAGAAAATATCCACAGTCTGTAAGCTTACTACGGAAATGGCTAGGTCATTTCAACCAGGAAAAATTATCAATTTTTTCAGATCTGGTAGTCGTTAAAATACATTTCTATGTAACATTTTGGTGCTTTTACTATAAAGAATAGAGCTATATATAAGATAATAAAGATACATATATAGTCTGCTTTTCAATTGTGTTGCTACCACTCAATATGAATATTCTTATTTTAAGAATTTATTACTCAAAAAAAAAAAATTATCTGTAGAATTCACAATTTTCCGGGTTGAAATGATCGCGTCATCACCGTATCTGTATTCAAATAAGATATAATTACATAGAAACAATATAACATTCACTGAGATACTATAAGTGTATCAACTCACCACAGTATAGCGACGATTGCCGCTGTCGTCATATTTGTCCCCAGTCCCCGGTTTCACTTATATAGTTCAAAGAATTCTAAAGATAAAAAGTAATGGGAAATAGATTATATCTGAAAAGGAAATTAGAATAACGTGACAACTTAATGTTGAAAGTGCCAGGCAAACGTAAGTTCCTAGTGGCCCTTCCGCATCTTTAAAAGTCAAGCTCGGTAAATTGCAGAAGTAAAAAAAAAAGTTACATGGTTCTGTCATAAACCAATGCCAATGACAGTTTATACAAACAAAAAACAAAAGCTATCTTGTTTTGTAATATTTTTTTTTACTTCTGAAGTCGACAAATGCATCTACTTTCCGTTAACATTTTGTTTTGAGACGGGCATCAATGGAGCTAAGTGACTTTGTAACTCGAGAGGCAAAATAAAAGAACAATAAAATTCTTAAGATTATACGTCATTTATCTCATGTCATTTCTGAATGACCAAATGGCCATAACACATAACATATTAAGTATTAGACCCTATTATGCAAACTTATCTATACGCAGTATCATACTAGTACTCGGTACTTATTCATGGAACTTAAAACTTCCTTTTTACCCTGAAAGTCAAATATTAAAGGTGATCAATTACATCAAAATTGAGCAAAAATGAACAGATATATGTTATCCTTAATTCACCAAAGAATAACTACCACACTTTTTTCGGTCCTATGGCAATCGCAGTACAAGTAGTATCCAAAGTGAAAGGGAGAAGCTTTTACACACATCTCTATTTATGTTTATACGGGGGCCTTTGATATGGCTTACGGGAGTAAATGTAACTTTCAGGATATGGACTACAATGATTTTCTTTGCAGCGTGTCTCACTGACGTAATATTGATCACGCCGTTTGTGGTAAATAATTCAACCACATACTAATGACCCAGATACGTGTACCCTGAAGGCCGTTGAGCAGACTGAAACTTTTGGTATAATTTCAGAAAGTCAGTTGGGTGTTAAACGTTGAGCTTCCTTGTACACTGTAACAAGGAAAAGGGACACGGTCCATTAAATGCAATGATACTTCTTTTACGTCTGAAAGACTTAGGCAACAGCAACATCATGTGCTACATGAGTAGGAGCGAGAAAAAAATTTATAAATTAAGACTGGCAGTTAGCCAAAGCCTCTCCCAAAATTCACCCTTATCGAACAAAAACATTCACTTACCGAGAAACAATAGGTCTTATGGGAGTGTTGTTGAGTTCAAGTACAATTCACATCCTATTTTGGCCTTAGAAGTGCACACGGCAAGTTTACGTCATGTTTTCATGGCGGTCGCCAGGCCCCGCGTGACCCAGCAAACATGGCACTGATAGCAGCCAGGTGTCTAGTAACACGGCCAGATAACGCGGGTCTCTTTAGTTACAGTGTATGTACGTGCAGCCATACAAGACCTCCATGCAAGATGAAGAAAATACTTGCGAACTTGTTTTTAGTAAATAAAGCTCCGTTCTTTTCTTCTCCTCTTTATTTTTTAATTTAACAGCTGAAGTTTGAAATGCTG